TCTTTCCCAAATGTTGCAAGTCAGTATTATTTCCTTGACTATAATTAATATATGACCTACCTCAGTGAGCTCCCAGGTGATGCTAATAGTCCAACATAGGCCATAGCTGCGGATCAACAAAGCCTTCATTGACCAGCCCCAGAAATGCCCAAAGGCAAATATATCAAAATGGCTGAGTATTCTCTCCCAGGTGATAACGTGACAGTTCACAGCATATTCCTGTTAACAACACAACAAGAATCCTCAGCTAGGCTCTAACATCTGCAATCAACAGAGAAGTAGGGTATTTTCATTTCAGTGAAAAAGGTACACCAAGCTTAAAAGGTTAAAATTAGAAAGATTTTGAAATGCATGTTACTGTTCCCACCTACATTAGGAGTGCCCTTCTCCTTTTTCTAATGCCAGGCATGTAAGTTCAAAAAAAGGCTACTGGGAAAATGAGCAGTAAATACAATAAAGAAGAAGGGTTCTGATGCAAGGGTATTACAAGAAAGTGGCAGAAGACATCAGGGAGGAGATGGCAGGGATCAAATGGAAGAGGATGGACTGGCACAGACTGCTCAGGAGTGGGACCGCTGAAGACAGCAAAGATAATGACGATGATGGTAGTGGAGCTGATGAGAGAGAAGATTACAGTGACAGTGATGACTGAAGAGATTGGGAAAGAGACATAGGAAGAGGAGGGGGAAAGGAGAGTTAGGGGTGAGGTTGTGTCATTGTGATATGAAAGGGTGATTCATAGATTGTTAGGGGCTGGAAGGGACCTTGCAGATCATTGGGTCCAGCCCCCCTGCTCTAGGCAGGAAGACAACAGGGTCCAGTGACCTCAGCGAGGTGACTGTCTAGTCTCCTCTTGGATACCTCCAAGGTAGGTTCTGGTTCACCACCTCTGGAGAGAGTCTATTCCAGAATCTGGTCACCCTCACTGTGCAGGAGTTTTTCCTGGTATTAAGCCTGAAGCAGCCTTCCAGGAGTTTATATACATTGGTCCTGGTCTTCCCCAAGGGTGCCCTAGTGAACAGATGTTCACCAAGATCCTGATGCACTCCTCCTCTGATAAGCCACTATCAAGTCCCCTCTCAACCTTCTCTTCTCAAGGCTAGAGAGGCCCAGGTCTTGCCCTGCAAGTCCGTGATCATATGGGTGGCTCTTTTCTGGACCCTTTCAAGTTTGTCCATGCCCTTATTGAAGTGCAGCACCCAGAACTGGATGCAGTACTCTAACTTTAGTCTCACCAGTGCCGAGTACAGTGGGAGTATCACTTCCTTAGTTTTACATGAGATGCATCGGTTGATGCACGCCAGCGTGTTATTTGCCCTGCTGACCACCACATCGCACTGATGGCTCGTGTTCATGCAGTGGTTAATCATTAGCCCTAGGTCCCTTTTAGCCATGGTGCAGGTCAGGCTGTTGCCTCTGAGCCTATATGTATGTTGAGGGTCATTTGCTCCCAGATGGAGCACCTTAATTTGGAAGTGTTAAATTTCATCTGGTTCCCGTCTGCCCAACTCTCTAGCCTGTCCAGGTCTGCCTGCATCAGCAACCTATCTTCTGGCATGGCCACACTGCCCCATAACTTGGTGTCATCTGAGAACTTGGCCAGCGAGCTTTTCGCTCCCCCATCCAAATAATTGATAACGATGTTGAAAAGCACCGGTCCAAGCACGGACCCCCGAGGGACACCACTGGGCCACTTCATGGCAGGACAACACAGATCTGTTCATGAGAACTCTCTGGGTCCTACCCTGTAGCCAGGTTCCCACCCACTGAACCGTTGAGCAACTGAGCCCACAATCTTCCAGTTTTCCCACAGAGATAGCGTGGGATACTAGATCAAAAGCCTTTTTGATGGTGATGGATATGCGGGTATGCAGATGTGCGGTGAGGATATTGTGACAGGAATGTGTACAGTGTAATTGCAACGATGTGCTTTGGACTGTCAAACAAGCCATAGCAGCCACAGAACAGGGTGACAGAGGTACATGCACACAAATCTGTACTGCATCTTTCTTATCATTTGACCTGTTTATCATGGTTTCTGTAATGTCCTTTAGCAAATCCTGTCCACGGCGCGTGACCCCACTTACAAATGCTGGATTTGTGCAGTGGTTGGGACTGGAGGCAGAATTTCTCTTCCTGGGCCTCAGAGCCATACGGGATAGCTTGCAGCCTGCTCCCTGACTGCAGAATGGCAGTGCTGCTGCAGGCTGAACCTCAAATGTTTGTTTCACAAGGAGACAGGAAAAGTATTATTGTTTTTATGTGGAGCTAAATACTATCTTTTCAATTTTGTTATGAACTTTTTAATAATCAACCACTTTGTCCTCATGCACATATCATCCCAAAATAGGGAAAAACAAGGACAAATTTGCTCCAAGGAAGAGGTAGGCAGATCTGCATTCTTTACCCTTGAATTAATTTCCCAAAATGTTAGCCAATCAAAGGCTGTGGTAATCAAGAATGGAAAAATACTCAGTGTCACCATGATGCAGCCTGAATTTGAAGGGATAACGTTGTTTCTGGGGCAAATGGTGCACATAGGACTTAAGAACAGAACATCAGTGTGGAAAGATACAAATAAAACCTCAGCTGACTGAGATTTTCTCATGTTAATGCTGTCCTTGACATTTTGTGCTCAGTGCTAAATCCTTAGTCCGCTGCCAGAGGTAGTTTCACATATAAGCTGCTGATCTGACTCTTCATATGACTGTTCTCTTGTTTTCTTTTTCAAGCTGCTCTCCCATTAAACACATTCACATTCAGGATATTTAGTCTGAGGGCAGAAGAAGAAGAAAGCTGGAGTGGAGTGAACCTGTAACTGTCATTTGCTAAGGAAAGGGTGAGCTAAAGTTTCCTTAAAAGTAACCACAGGTCATTAATACCCAAGAACATGAAAGAAAGCTGGTTTGCTTATGCTGGTTTGCAGCCAAGTAAAGTTAATGCCCAATTAAAGCATCTCTGCTGCAAACTAAATGTTAAATAAGGCTCTCAGTGTATGAGAATATTCCATCCATAAGAGACTAATAAGAAACTCTGCCTTGTGAAAATATTTACTGACCTCTGCAGGTGATGAAACAACACAGCTCAGTGGTACTGGATTTATGATGCTTTCACAATGATACCCGTGCAGGGATAGCCACAGTAGGCGGGGGTTGTTGCGGCTGAAGCTTTGAGGACCTAGCTCCTATTCACACAAGCCAGTCAGGCTGATCAGGCACATATGACCCACCGTAAAAGCTGCAGCTGCACTGTGCTGCTCAAGGGCAATAAAAGGTGGTCAGTTTTCTTTTAGGGCTCTTGCTGCAGTAGCCACCCCTGAATCTTCTCCAGCACAGACTACATCTTAGCAATTACAACCTGCACCTACATTCTTAAAACACTTGTACCATAATCTAAATACATTGTTAATCCCATCAAGCTTCCTAACAGTAAATAACAGCCCTTAGCTACCAGAGAACAAGGGGGAGGAAGGGGGAAATGGGGCAGGGGGTAAGCAGCAGCTGTGGCTCTGGACCCAACTCTGGATTGGAGCCAGAGCATGTCCCTGCCACCCCCTCTTATTTAAATACAAGACGAGAGGTTTTTTTTGTACACAGTTCTGGGCTCCACATTTTAAAAAGGACATGGTGAGGTTAGAGGGGGTTAGGGCAGATTTGATTTAAATCAAATTGATTCAAATCATGGTTTGAATCACGATTTAAAACACTGGTCAGGAAACTTCAATTTAATTACAGTTTTCTACAAAAAGTGAATTCCGGCTGTTTGATATCTTTCATTTGTTTAACTTCTTGAAACTTTGCACTTTTAAAGAAAGGTAACGGCTTGACTGTCTGTATACAAACTTGTAGAGAGAGAATAGGGCTGATGGGGGGGCAATCAGCCGGGATCCGGGTTTTCTGTTTCTCAGAGAAAAATGTAGAAAACCACAGATTTCCCAGCTTCATCAGAGAAAACACAGATTTTCCCTTTTAGTAGAGAAACCCGCAGATTTCCTGCTTTTGCAAAGACCTCTGCGGGCTCGCTGAGTTCCAGCCTGCAGGAGCAGATTGCAAAAGCGGCAGGAAAGGCCCAGCCCTGCCCGGAGAGGGGGAAGGGCAGGGCCTGAGGCTCTAAGTCAGTCCCAAGGCTTACCTCTGGCTCACTTTCCTTCTGGAGCCTGTAGGTTAGGTAACTGGGGCTTACAGGGGGTGGTGTTGGTGAACAACACAGAGTGCCCGGCCAGCGGCACATGGACTGCCCACAGTGTTAAAAATCGGCCCAACCGGGCTCGATGCCTCCATGCGTGGCTTCCCTTAAGGGCCCACAGCACTGCTCACGGTCCATGTGCAGCCAGCCAGTCATGCCAGCCAGGAGTGGGGAGGTGTTGGTGAGCGACATGGAGTGTCTGGCTGGCTGCACGTGGACCACGAGCGGCCCTATAGGCCCTTAAGGGAAGCCACACATGGAGGCACCGAGCCCAATCAGGCTGACAGGACCACAGGCAGCCCATGTGCAGCCAGCCGAGCACAGTGCATTTTGCTCTCGGGGGGCAAAGGGGACCCACTCGCTCTCCCAGATCTGTGCAGGCTCCCGCTTCCTTTCCACAGGGCCTCTGCAGCCCCGCAGGCATGACCCCGTGCTGCTGGGAACAGTAGGGCCACGCGGGGATCTCCTCCTCGCCCCCCGCTGCCCTGGGGACACACCTCCTGCACTTGCTGCTTCCCTCAGTGTAGCCCCGCGTGCAGGAGGCACGTCGCCAGGGTGGCGCAGGGAGAGCAGCCACTAGGAGATCCCCGCACAGCTCCTCTGTCCCCAGCCATGCTGGGTCGTGGGAGGGGGAAGTGGAGTGATAGGGAACAGCAGCGAGCAGCCGTGGGCCCAGGTCCCTGCTGCCCTCCCCCACAATGCGGTGCAGCTGGGGGCAGAGGAGCTACTTGGGGATCTCTAGCAGCTGCTCGCCCTGCGCCACCCCAGCGATGCACCTCCTGCACACAGGGCTACACTGAGGGAAGCAGCAGGCGCAAGAGGCACATCACCAGGGCAGCTCACAGCCTGCCCCAGCACAGATCCAGGGGGCGTGTCCCCATTGCCCCCCGGGAGCTGGCCCTGCCTGAGCCCTCAGCAGTGGGGGAGCCAGCTCCACGCTCCTTCTGCTGCAGCTGCTTTCTGTTGGGGGCAGGGAGTTGCGGACCTGGGTCCCTGGCCCCATGGCCCTGGCAGCTGGGGGGCACCTGCAGGGCAGGGAGGGCTGTGGGGGGCCTTTAATTTTAATAACAGATTTTTGGGTTTTTAACCAGATATTCTGCGATTTTTTATCAGAGAATTTGTGATTTTTTTTTTTTTTTTAATTAGGGAAAACCAGGATCCCTAGTAATCAGGTCTGTTATCTCATATCTCTGTATACTGCTGTTAACAAGGATGTTATCTCTGGAGACAAACTCTCCCTATGCCTGAAGAAGGGCGTTTGTTCCCAAAAGCTTGCAAAGAACTTTTTTTCCAACTATTTAGTTGGACTAATAAAAGATATTACATATTCCCGAAGAATTGTGCCTGCCTATGATGTCTGGAGACACAATTCCACAGTTTGAGAACTGAAACTAACCATCACAGAGATGCTCCATGGGAACTTCTAGACTAAGGACTGAGTCCCATTGAGTAGAGTGGTTTTCTTTAATCTTTACTAATCTATAGAGGAGCTTCTGGGAACCCCATAAGCTTGGGCCCCTAATACAGTTCATGGCCTGTTGTGACCCATTTATAAAACTTTTAAAAAGGTTACATGAATACATTGTCTCAAATAGTACATAATTAGAAGTTATAATCCCTATTCCATGATGAAATCTTTGAGCTTTAACATATCTTAAATTAAAACTATCTTTATATAAGGTGTTTTTTAAATCATCTTGACAAAAAAATTAATAAAAAGATTAAATAATAAAAATAATCTGATTTAAATAAAAAACCCTTTAAAAAGAAAGGTCAATATTTATCCACCTTGGAGAAGGTGTGTGACAAAGATGATAAAGGACTTGGAAAGGAAGTTATATGATAAAAGTCTGGAGGAGCTAGGCATATTCAGCTTGCGGAAAAGATGCATAAGAGGGGTTATGAGAGCACTCTTCAAATACACGGAGGACCAGTATTAAGAAGAGGAAAAGCACTTTCTCTCTCTTGCTGTAGCGAGCAGGAGATAGACCAATGGCCTGAAGTTGCAGCAAAACAGGTTTAGGTTGGATATCAAGAAAAACTTCTTCACAGTTAGACTAGTAAGGCAGTGGAACAGACTGTCTAGGGGAGTTGTGGATTCTCCATCACTGGAGGTGTTCAAGAGGAGGTTATAGAGCCACTGGTTGGGATGACATAGGCATAGTTTTGCCTATGTTCTACTCTGGGTATGTCTCATGTTGAGGTGCTTTTAAGCCTTCCTCAGACGCACTGGGTGACAGCTGCAGCCAAGGCTGGGCACTTTGACTGGGGCAGTATACTGCCAACATTCCAGCTGGCACCAAAGCCGGAGGTTCCTGGCTAGAGGGTTTTGCCCCTCCACTCATGGTCAGAGTGATCACCATATTTGGGGTAAGTAAGGAATTTTACATCGTGGTCAGATTGGTACAGGCCGTGGGGGTTTTTGCCTCTCTCTGTAGCAGGGGACATAGCCCGCTATGTGGTATCTCTTGAGCGTATATTAACAACTTTTTATAGAAGCAGGACACTATACACTGGCTATCATGGTTCCCCTGCTTTACGTGTGGCATGTTAGAGTGTTACGGCTTGTGGTCTGTCAGGGATGTTGGAAGTTTTCTGAAGAGGTCAGATTATGAATTGTATAAAATGGTTTGGATACGGATGATCCTGCCTCAGGCAGGAGACTGGATTAGATGACCCCTGGAGGTCCCTTCCAGCCATATTTCTCATAAGATTTCTATGATATTCCCCATGTTAAATGGTGAGGTGGGGGCTCATCTTGGATTTGAATAAATATAGCAATGTGAGTAATCAAGTACAGGGAAAGCAGAAAAATGATAAAGTGCTAATTGCTTAGTATTGTCAGAACAGTAAGATTTATAGATTCCATTAAATATAACTCTGCATAGATAGGAACAATGTGTCATGTTTTGACTTGATTCTGAGTTGCTGAGAATACAGTCCAGATATTATGTTGACAAGTATGATATCCTGCATCATACCCATTCTTTACACAACAGGCCCAGTAGAGCCAAATTTTATAAATCTGCATCATAGACATGGAAAATTAATTTGCTTCCTGGTTAATTTGAATGTAGAGAATTGATAGTTAATATGGAGCAGCTGTAACTGGCAGACTGATACGACAGATACATACCATGATATCCGCTTCCCTGGTAGCATATCGGAGATTAGGATCCAGCCAATACATCACTGATTTTACCTGCTCAAAGTTGAGGAAGAGCACAAACACCAGAAACAGGAAATAGAGAACGCTGAGACCTGTAAGTAGAATCATATTTATACAGACTGTCTACAATGAAATTAGCTGGGCCAGATAGTCAAAAGTTGGTTCCAAAGCAACATTCAAAAGCTGACACGCACAATGGCAAAAGGCATACAGAAATGACAATTCCCAGAAGTCTGAGTTCTGGGTCCACAATATTTTGCAGCCACAAACCAAATCTTGAAAATACACCTGTTATACGATTTCCCATTGCATACTATTTAAATGCCAACTGAGTCAAAAATGTTGGGGGGGGGGACCCCAGAGCACAGAAACACAAGGACTGAAGGAACGGGCTTTCTGTTCCCAACTCCACAGGCTGTGGGTTTCAGTAACATAGCCCTTAAACCAAAGAATCAATTGCAAAACTAATCACCAGATTGACCAGTATACTATTCGGCTGCTATGAGCTACTTGGGCAATGCAAAGGGGCTGTAAGACGAGCTTCACTGCCTGGAGTCCACTAGCTGCTTTGGTGAGCAGTTTAACTTGGTGGGCTGATTTCTGCCATTAGAAGTCAAAATAAATAAATAAGGCCAACCTATTAAATAGGTACTTTGCGTCAGTCTTTCATCAGTCCCATGGGACGCCCATGCCCACTACAGGGCCGGGAAGTCCGGGTGAGGGCGATCCCCTGCCCTCCATTAATGCTGACTTTCTGAAGGAACATCTTGAGAAGCTGGATACCTTCAAGTCAGCCGGCCCTGACAATCTTCACCCCAGGGTACTCAAGGAGCTGGCGAGCATCATAGCCCAGCCTCTAGCACGGATCTTTGAAAACTCTTGGAGATCTGGTGTAGTGCCCGAAGACTGGAAGAAGGCCAATGTGGTGCCTATCTTCAAGAAAGGGAGGAAAGTGGATCCAGCTAACTATAGGCCCATCAGCCTGACTTCTATCCCGGGGAAGATCTTAGAAAAGTTTATTAAAGAGGCCATCCTTAATGGACTGGCCAACGCCAACATCTTAAGGGATAGCCAGCATGGGTTTGTTGCGGGTAGGTCTTGCTTGACCAATCTCATTTCCTTCTACGACCAGGTGACCTATCACCTGGACAAGGGAGAAGAGATTGATGACATATATCTTGACTTCAAAAAAGCCTTCGATCTGGTGTCCCATGATCGCCTCTTGGAGAAACTGGCCAATTGTCGCCTTGGGTCCTCCACGATCCACTGGCTGGAAAATTGGCTCCGGGGTCGGACCCAGAGGGTAGTAATCGATGGAAGTCACTCATCGTGGTGTCCTGTGACCAGTGGGGTCCCCCAAGGCTCTGTCCTTGGACCCATACTGTTCAACATCTTCATTAATGATGTGGACACTGGAGTCAGAAGCGATCAGAACTGGCCAAGTTCGCCGATGACACCAACCTCTGGGGCAAAGCATCCACACCAGAAGACAGGCAGGTTATCCAGGCTGACCTGGACCTGCCTATGCAGGGGGTCAGACTCGATGATCTCAAGCAAATCCCGGGACGTCTCAAGCAAATCCCGGGACGTCTCTCAAGCAAATCCCGGGACGTCATTCTCCCCCTGTACTCGGCCTTAGTGAGGCCGCAGCTGGAGTACTGTGTCCAGTTTTGGGCTCCACAATTCAAAAAGGATGTGGAGAAGCTTGAGAGAGTCCAGAGAAGAGCCACGCGCATGATCAGAGGTCAGGGAAGCAGACCCTACGATGACAGGCTGAGAGCCCTGGGGCTCTTTAGCCTGAAAAAGCGCAGGCTTAGGGGTGATCTGATGGCCACCTACAAGTTTATCAGGGGTGACCACCAGCATCTGGGGGAACGTTTGTTCACCAGAGCGCCCCAAGGGATGACGAGGTCGAATGGTCACAAACTACTTCAAGATCGTTTCAGGCTGGACATAAGGAAGAATTTCTTTACTGTCCGAGCCCCCAAGGTCTGGAACAGCCTGCCACCGGAGGTGGTTCAAGCGCCTTCATTGAACACCTTCAAGATGAAACTGGATACTTATCTTACTGGGATCCTATGACCCCAGCTGACTTCCTGCCCTTTGGGCGGGGGGCTGGACTCGATGATCTTCCGAGGTCCCTTCCAGCCCTGATGTCTATGAAATCTATGAAGGCTGATGTGACAGATCTTCGAATCAGTAGAAATCACATCTGGTAGCATTCTGTTTGGGTGTCTTATTCAGTGTCTGTGCATGAAACTTTCAATAATTAACATATTCCTAGACATCAGATTTATAGATTGTAGCTGTGTTGGTCTAAGGACATAGGCAGACAAGGTTCTTTGGGTAAATTCAATATCTTTTATTAAACTAACTCAAATAGCTGGAAAAAAAATCTTCTTTGCAAGATTTTGGGTACAAACACCCTTCCTCAGGCTGAGGAAGCTTCCGGATAAAGGGTGTTTGTACCCAAAATCTTGCAAAAAAGAATTTTTCCAACTATTTGAGTTGGGCTAACAAAAGATACAGGTTTCCCTCGCTTTATGCAGGTTCTGTATATGCAAATTTGCTCTTATGAGATGACCTTTTTATACCCAAAATTCATTATAAGAGTGAACTTACCTCGCATATGTAATCAGCAGCAGGTAAGTCTATGTGGGGAGGCCATGAGCAGGGGGACAGACTGAGGCCCCAGCAGTGAGGAAGGAAGCAGGGCACAAGCAGGAGCAAGGGCTGGGGTGAGTGGGGCCTCGATCTGCCCTCCCGCTGGTGGTGAGGGAGGGAGTGGGGCTGGGGCAGAGGCAGGTGCTGCACAGCCAGAGCGGGTGCGAGACCGGGGGGTATGGCTCCTGCTGCTAAGGGCTGCCACTGTGGGCTGGGGGCCATGATGGGCTCTTGCCAGAGAGGGCTGGGCTGCACTGCGCTCGGATTGTGGTGGCGGCACTGGAAAGGAGGATTGTGGGGACTACAGCGAATTTTGAAGTGGCTGCAGCCCCACCCTTAGCCTGCCTCCTAGCGCTGCTGCCCTCCCCCTTGAATGCAGCCTGGCCCAGCCCCCTGCCAGGAACAGCCTGGCACCACCCTGGCCCCAGCAGACTTACCTGCTGCCAGTGCTGTCAAGGTCTTGGAACATATCCCTACTCGTTATCGTGTAGAGTGGTTTCCCTTTATGTGAATTTGAGTTATGCGCAGTTTTTCAGGAACGCGTGTACCGCATAAAGCGAGGGAAACTTGTACAGATTTACCTAAAGAACCTTGTCTGTTAGACATCAAACTACATTAGGACAAAAAGAACATACCAGTAACTTACAAGTTTAAAAAACAATTACAAGGACAGTTAAAAACAAATCCAAAAACATCAAGGCAATAAACGTACTATTCAGACATTCAAAATGTTAACTTAGTCACACAGCAATATCAGGAAAAAGCAACACGAGGAAAAAAAAGTACTAATTTGTTTAATATGTAATAATCAGAAGGCAACTGCATGAGACCTTATACAATAAAGGGCAAATTCTGCCCAGTTATGTGGGTAGAACAAATGCACAGCTCTCTAGTCCTACAAACTCATGCACCAGTACAACATCAAGATGGAACAGAAACTGAACTGAACAGAAACTGTGGACTTGCAGCCTGCTATTTGAGATACTTGCTGCGCTTCTGGGATATACACACTACTCCATGGAACTACATCCTCTTGAACCATGAAAATCTGCCTATTCCAAATAGCTGAGACCTTAACTGTAGCTGACAAAGCCATCCCAGGGGAAAAAAATAATTAGGAGTACACCAATAGAGATTTTGTGAGCCAATACTGATAGCCTATATTTGAGGCAGCATATGGCCGACACTGATACAATTTCCAATACAGTTGTCTCCAGCTGGTCAGTTCGGTGGGGTGAAAGGGGAGGAGGGAGGGAAGGGGCAGGGGCAGGCACTGCCCAGGTTTGGGGGGGAAAAAGCTATGCCTCATGTTGGGGGGAGGCAGCTCCTGCCACTGCCTGCACCCCAGGAGGGCATGGGGGGAGGGGGGGGCATGTGCGCCCCTGGATCTGCATGGGCCGGGGTGGGCTGCAGCCGGGGCTCTTCTTGACAGGGGCTGGGCTGGGCTTGGAGTGGGTGATGCTAGAACTGGAAGGATGCTTCATTCACCCCGAATTTCACAGACATCCTGCTCCTGGAACCGCTGCCACTAGCTGCCCAGTGCTGCTCTGGCTCAACGTCCCGCCACCATCCACATGCTGGGAAAAGCCGCGGCAGCGCTGGGTGGCTGGAGGCAGTGCTGGGAGCTGAGCTGCGGCAAAATTTAGGATGGATGCAGCATCCCCCCAGTGTTGCTGGCAACTACTCTGAGATCAACCCCTGCCAAGAAGAGCCCCACGCAGCCCTGGCTACAGCCCACCCCACCCCGGCCCACATAGAACTGGGGGCTCATGCCCCCCCATGCTCTCCTGGAGTGCAAGCCCTGGTGGGAGCTGCCCCCACCCCCAGCAGCCACACCACCTGGGCAGCTCCTGCCCCCGCCCCCACTCCATCACTGCAGGGGGTGCTGATCTGCCCCCCGCATGCCCCTTCCCTTCTCCCTCTCCTTCTACTACAACAGGACTGGAGGCAGCTCTCCACACTGCTGGCTGTGCTCCTGGCTGCCTGAGTGCTGCACCTTGGCAGCACACGGCATGAGCATTTATCTGCCAAATTATCAGCCCCATAGGGCCAATATCTGATACAGCAAATTTTCTTTATATCTGTATTGATCTGATATTGGATCGACGTGTTGGTGTACCTCTAAGAATAATAAAATGCAAAATCTTTTTTTAATAGGCATTCATGCTCCTACAAGCACACTTGCAATCTTTCCCCAGTAGTACAGTAGGCCAAGTTCTGAACCCATCCACTTCAAGTGTCGATTTAAGTTAGGCCTGTGCCACAGCTTACACTTATGACATGATTAACCAGGTAAATCATGTCTTAAGTTATGACTCCACCACAAGTTCAATCAAAACAATCACCTACTCTGGATATCTTCAAAAAACAGCTGGACGCTCACCTTGCTGGGGTCATCTGACCCCAGCAGTCTTTCCTGCCCAAGTGTAGGGGGGGCTGGACCTGATGATCTCGAGAGGTCCCTTCCAGCCCCAAACTTCTATAAATCTATGAATTAATGACGTGATAAAAGAGGGAATAAGCTACAAAGTTATTCCACAAAAAACATGCAGTAACTTTGTGGCTCGCTCCTATCATCCCATTAATTAAATGCATGGCCAGAGGGGGCCTTGTGGCTAGGAGCTCCCAGCTGGAGGACACATCTGTGCCACCAAGCCTGGAAGTTTGCAGCTGATGTAGGCCTCAGCTGCAGGAATATGTGCCCTTGCAGCTGGAAATCCCATGAGCTTGCTACTTGTTGGTGAAGGGGAATCATGATCCCAGGCAATGTGGGTTTTCTAAATGTTATCTTAACGTGGCACAACTATGGTTCGGTGCTCGTAAGATTATCCGTGCATAAGAACTCTGGTTTTTAAAAGTTCAAATCATTGAGCTGAAGCATTGAACAGAAGTAGTTGTGCTATGTTAAGATAACATTTAAAAAACCCACACTGTAATAAAAAAAGAGAAATAATCCCAAGTATGACAAACTACAATAAGGTCTATACCTACTACAACATAGTAAAAATACTTTAAATTAAATATAGTATATGAAACCACTATGTTTTCTGACGTTCTAAATGAATTCAGGTTCATTAGTAGAATTCACAGGCTAAGCACAAGGTACTAGAGTTTGCTGATAAACTATGAATAAAATCAACAAATTAAAAAGTGAAGTATAAAGATAACAAGATCTACTAGTTCTAAAATCTGAAACGTGCGGGGATCAAAATAAGCTATTTTAGCCACTTGTTAGAGAAAAATCTCTCCCCTTTGCTTAGTACAATTTGTTTAAAATGAAAGGTTGTTTAGTAAACTTTACCTGTTTTCATGGATCAGTCAAGTTCAAGGTAGTTTTTAAACAAATAAAATTAAATTCTAAAATGCTATTTTGTGCATTTTTAACTGAATTTCCATCTCAATTCAGCTGGGCACAAAATTACAAATTCAAAATTAAACACATGGTAAGAAAATTATGGTTCAGTATTTCCTAACATAAACAAAGAAAAACAATTTATATAAATGTATGCTAAAATAAATAACCGCTTAAATAAGTATGTATAACAATGGTATATACTCCTGGAAAAAAAACAAACAAGTTTAGCATAAATGCTATATTTAGTTATAAAGCAATGTCTTTCAGTAGTTATAAAGCAATGGCTTTTCAACGTCTTTACCGATGATAATTGTGTCTTCTTAATTAGAAAAATAACTAACATATAAATGCTAAACAAGGTTTTTATTTGTTTTTAAATAAGAAATAAACCTTCAATCATCCAAATGAATGTGGCTTTTTGGGTGGCTTAAAAGTGCTCCGATCATAACCAGGCTACCCTGATATAGAACTACACTGCTCACATTTACCAATATATCCAAGTACAGAAGATTACCGAAACTATCAAAGAAAAATCACTGGTTCTCACAAGTTTTGTGCACTGCTGTGCTCCAGGGTATTTGTGGAGGTTATTATATCACTGTACAATTTATCCAAGTTAAAACTGGCACTGTATAAGTAAAAATATAAATATGAAACTTACCAAAAACCATTCGCCATATTGCAGGATGTGGGCGAGTAAAGGGCCCTGCAGAGAGAAACATTTGTTAGATGAAAGTCAATTGTTTAAGAAGAATGGAAAGCCAGAACCACAGTACATCATCCACATTATCATTCTCAACCTCCCTTCCAGCTGCATAAGGGTTTCACTTGGAGACCTGGCTATATTTAAATAAAACATGCTCTTTGGTAATTAATGTTAAATTAATTCCAGAGTATATTTTTGGTCAATTACCAGGTTATAGAAGAAATGTTCAATTACCTTTTACTGGAATTTTCTCCCTAGTGGTAAGTAAATATATTTTGGACAGACTATCTGTCACTTGTTTATATCTTGATTTGTTTTTCAGATTACATGTGTTTTATAGCTTGCCCCAGTTAGAGGTAAAAGTAATCAAAAACAAGGTGTGAATGGGGGTGTGGAAGTAAGGTTTGGTTGGCCACCCGAAAATGCTCTTCTAGGTAATGGGGAGTGGGAATGTATGCGGTAGAATGGATTGTTTTGAATTCTGGGAGGAGGATGCTCTACCATCTTATTTAATACTGTTTAAGTTATTTTGTCTTTTACTGTATGTTGTATTGAGCCTTTTTTGGGAAGGGGGAGAGAGAGAGAGAGCGCTAACCTTCCCATTTCTGCAGGTTAGCAAAGAAAGGAAAGGTCCCAGCTCTAACTCCATATCTTACCAAGTGAGCTTGAATTTCTAACCAGTCAGACATCAGACACTACACAGGATATCTGATATCATGAGGGAAGTGCTGGTTTGTGTGTGGGTGGTGGTGGGGGTGGATGGTCACAGGGATAATTACACCCTCAGCTATCTCCCAACTGCTGGGAAAGAAGGGCACTGGGATTCCAAATGGATGCTTTTCCTAGACCCTGGCTTGGAATAATTGCTTCACATCTCCTATATAGAACACTCCTTTAAATACATTTTAGAATAAGAAGTGCCTTTTTTTGCAACAGTATTACACTGTTGACTATGATTCAATTTTTTTATATGCTATAACCCCAAGATCCTTTTCTGATTGTGTGTTTGTCCACCTGATTTCTCCTTTCCAAGTGCTGCATGCTGCACTTTGTCTTTATTGAATTTCATGTGACCTATTTCAGATAATCTCTCCAATTAATGAAGATAATTCGGATAGAGATGCACCGATACACTGGTCCCATATTGGATCAGCACTGATATGAGGAAAATTGAGAGTGCTGGCAATCGGCTTTTTTTGTCTGACGTGGCCAATAATGTGGATGCACGCATGCAGCCGCAGTGCAGCACGCAGGCAGCCAGGAGCGCAGCTGGGTCTGGCCGGTAAGTCTGTTGGGGGAAGAGGCGAGGGAAGGGATGTGGGGGCGCAGATTGAGCCCCCGTGGTGAGGGAGGGAGTGGGGCTGTTCCCCAGCTGGTCAGCGCCTGCCCCTGCCCTAGCCCTGTTGTCCCCAAAGGACAGTGAGTTCGTGCCCGGTGCGCTTGTGCCAATAAACACACAGGGGTGAAGGATCCAACTTAATCTTTATTTCTGCGCAGAAAGTGGCGCTTGGCAATCATTCGCAAAGCAAGCACCCCCACCCCAGTGGGCGTCTGCCTTATATAGCTACGTAACAGGTTAAACTTGCTGATGTGATGAAATGTGTAGCAAGCCCAGCAAGTAACCCCCCTTCCAGCTCCCTCCCAAGTAACCCCCCTTCCAGCTCCAGAACTTTGTTGATACAGCTTTTCCTCTAGCGAGCCCAGCAATTAAACAACTAAGCAACAAGCGATCTCCCCCAGCCTAAACAACCTACTCTATGTCCTTGGTTAGATAAAATACTTTTTCAGAACACAAAGCTGTTCCTGAAGTAGCAAATGCATAGTAAAAGTTCAAGGGATCTCTGCTAGACATGGCTTCCAGCCCTACTTCTGTCCCTAGGGGTTTAGCCAGGTGCCCCTGAAACAAGGGGTGCTTATCAGCCCCACACCCTCCCTCACCACAGGGGCCTTGATCTGCCCCCTCCCCCCCAACCCACCAATGCCCCTTTCTTCCTCCCACCCCTTCCTCCACAACAAACTTACCAGCTGGACACTGCTCGCCATGCTGCAGGGCTGCATATCAGCAATTGGATTGGTATTGGCCAATATGGCTCATTAAAAAATAGACCATCGTTACTGGCCAAAAAAATCTCTATCAGTGCACCCCTACATTCTGAATTCCTTACACTGTCCTCCAAAGAGCTCAGTGTCATCCATAAATTCCTTAAGTGCTCTCTTTATTCTGTTCTCCAAGCTGTTAATGGAAATGTTGAATAGAACCAGATGATGACAGACCCCTGCAGAACCCATTTGAAAAGATCCTCCACAGGGAACAACAGAGCCAGTCTTTGACAGTGCTTTTATGGAACTTGTTGTTGCAGCTGATGTTAACTTGGGGAAAAGTTAACCTGCAGTTAATGTTTGTATAAACACTTCCTGCATTTGTATGGAGTTACAAATCTGCTCCTAGAGGCTTCTGAAAAAAATCTATTCCAATGCATTATGGGCCTGGAATCTTCATTTTTAAATATCTGTTACACTAAAGTCCATCTAATTCCCACCTTCCTATGAGCCTTCTGTTTCCGTTAACTAAACAAGCTTAAAATACTTTAAAAGATGTATTAGTGGGAAAATTACAGGTGGATGGTTTAAAATTATAATTTCTATTAAAATTATGGCCTGTGGCTCTTCAGATAGTTTTGCAGCCTACAAGGAGTGGACTTTCATAGATTTCATAGACATCAGGGCTGGAAGGGACCTCGGAAGATCATCGAGTCCAGCCCCTCCGCCGAAAGAGCAGGAAGTCAGCTGGGGTCATAGGATCCCAGCAAGATAAGCATCCAGTTTCATCTTGAAGGTGTTCAATGAAGGCGCTTGAACCACCTCCGGTGGCAGGCTGTTCCAGACCTTGGGGGCTCGGACAGTAAAGAAGTTCTTCCTTATGTCCAGCCTGAAACGATCTTGAAGTAGTTTGTGACCATTCGACCTCGTCATCCCTTGGGGCACTCTGGTGAACAAACGTTCCCCCAGATGCTGGTGGTCACCCCTGATAAACTTGTAGGTGGCCATCAGATCACCCCTGAGCCTGCGCTTTTCCAGGCTAAAGAGCCCCAGGGCTCTCAGCCTGTCATCGTAGGGTCTGTTTCCCTGACCTCTGATCATGCGCGTGGCTCTTCTCTGGACTCTCTCAAGCTTCTCCACATCCTTTTTGAATTGTGGAGCCCAAAACTGGACACAGTACTCCAGCTGCGGCCTCACTAAGGCCGAGTACAGGGGGAGAATGACGTCCCGGGATTTGCTTGAGAAGCATCTATGGATTTGCTTGAGACGTCCCGGGATTTGCTTGAGATCATCGAGTCTGACCCCCTGCATAGGCAGG